TCTGTCACTTCTGTGACTACGGATTTGGGATTGGGGACATTATATGCATCAACTAGTCTGGGACCAAGAAGTCCTAGACTACAAGATCATAAAGAGAGTCTAGGACACCTCTCTGGTTCCATTTCTGCTGACTTTGATGCATTAAGTGAGAATACTTCACAGCAAATAGCCCAGTCCTCTTCTTGCTCTGGATCTGATGTTGGAGGGCAGTGTGATCCAAGAGATATCAAATCACTTAGGAGAGTTCTTAAAGAAAAGGTTGGCTGGCAAGATGAAGCCATATGCACTATTAGTCAAGCTGTGTCAGATTGGAGATCTGGTGGTGGAAGGAATCGGGGTTCAAAACTCAGAGGTGATATATGGCTGACTTTGATTGGGCCTGATAGAGTCGGAAAGAAAAAAATTGCTTTAGCACTTGCTGAGATATTGTTTGGAACCAGGGAAAGCCTAATCTCTGTTGATCTGGGATCCCAAGATAGGGGTTACCAGTCAAATTCGATTTTCCAATGCGAAGGCTCCGATGATTACGATCTGAAGTTTAGGGGTAAGACGGTTGTTGATTATGTTGCAGGGGAGTTAAGCAGGAGACCCCATTCGGTGTTCTTCCTGGAAAATGTAGATAAGGCCGACTTTCTGGCCCAGAGTAACTTGTTACAGGCCATTAGGACTGGCAAGTTTCCAGACTCTCATGGGAGAGAAATCAGCATTAACAACATAATCTTTGTGACAACCTCAGCTAGCAAAGAGAGAAGCAAAAATCACTATATAGAGAATGAGCCCCGTAAGTTTTCTGAGGAGATTATACTTGCCGCCAAGAGATGTCAAATGCAGATACGAAATCTTGGGGATGTCAACCAAAGTAAGGTTGTGAATGTGAGGATTGCACCAAGAGAAGGAACCTCAAACCCATGCTCCGTAAATAAAAGAAAGCTGATTGACACAAATGTCTCCATCGAGCAATCCTTTGAATTACAGAAACGGCCCAACAAGGCGTTAAGGTCCTTTCTGGATTTGAATCTGCCAGTGGAGGAGACAGACGAGTGCATAGATTCTGAAGGTTTTGACAGTGATTCCACTTCTGAAAACTCAGAAGCTTGGTTGGAAGATTTCCTTGATGAAGTGGATGTAAAAGTGGTCTTGAAGCCATTTGATTTTGATGCGCTTGCTGAGAAAATAGTAAAGGAAATCAATCGAGAATTCAAGAAAATCTTTGGATCCGAGGTGCAGCTGGAGATTGATTTTGGTGTCATGGTGCAAATACTTGCAGCTGGGTGGTTATCAGAAAGGAAGAAAGCACTAAAGGAGTGGATCGAACAGGTTCTCTGTAGAAGCTTTGATGAAGCACGTCAGAAGTACTGCCTCACCGGTCATTCTGTGATGAAATTGGTTGCCGGCAAGGCCCTGTCTGTCGAAGAGCAAACTCCCAGTGTTTGCCTTCCTGCTAGAATTAGTTTGAACTAATTTTTTTCGCCCACTGTGCTTTTTGTAAGTACATGTATACCGTAGCGTTTTAGCATATAGCATTTGGCTGCTTTTCTAATCAATCCTATATATTTTTTTTGGGTAAATCATTTTGTGTTGTATTGACTTATTTTGTAAGCATGTACATGTTCCCTCTTGATCTGCAAGCAGTTAGTTGTACAGCTTGTACTGTTGTATTATCTGTTCCTTGATCTAATGTATCAGCATCAAGTTGTTTATTTATATGCAAATGTAAAATGTAGTGAGTTATCCAATCTAATTCAATCTTACGCACCGAGCACGCCCAAAATGAGCTTGGGTAAGACGCCCAAAATGAGCTTGGGTATGGGCCATATGCCTTAGAGAAGATTTTGCTCAAAGTTGCAGCAACTTTGAGAGACCACAAGGCAAATTCCTGCTCACAGATCCTACAACTGTTGAAGAGGGTTGGATTGGATTGGAGGCTTGCAGCCCATAATTTGTGTCAATGGGCCTTCTTTTGCTGGTTCATGACTTAAATGGGAAAAAGAATAAATTCCCAGTGTACCTCCAAATGTTGTCAAGTTCTTTGGCTTATTCAAAACAGAAAAAGGCAAACCAATAAATAAAATAAAAAAGTCCACATATTGCTGTGACACCATCCCACTAGCATCATGACTATTGTGCATTGTTTGTCATCCAACTTTCACTTTCAAAATTATATTCCTTACTTTATGAAAAAGATAAACCAACAATCGAAATTTTGGAACAAAGTCATTGTATTTCCACTTTCTGAAAAAGCAGAACAATTTAGCTTACCTTTTTTGTATACCTGATTTTCTTCATAAAAATCATAAAAAAAGCTCATATGAAGCCAATTTGATCTTCTCAACATTTTTTTTTATTTTTCTTTATCATCTAAAAATAAGTAATCTTGATTGTATTTTTTGTGTATTTGATCTTTTTATGCAACTAATTAAGCTCTAAAATTATGAGAGTATCAGTATACTTTTCGATAAAAAATTTATTATTAAAAAAAAAGAAATATAGGAGAAAACCAAAAACATGCACCGTCCTCTGTCTCATAATCTAATGAGAATCTACAACATTTGATACTGATAGGATGGAATGGAACTAGTGTGATCACACACAAAATAAAAATGTCTATTTTCCACCAAAGAAAACGACACCAAGTGATTCTGACCTGCTTTTGCTTATTTTACACATCTCTAGCCCCACTTCCTCTTGTCTTACATGCAATCTTTGATGTCGTTTACACCTCGGTGGGGTCGTTTTTATCACACCTCATTGACTTTCCAATCTGGATGGCGAGGGCTTTTCTTTGAGTTCCCATAGTCAAGTTTGGCTTTGCCTTTGGAGCACACTGGGAGCCGTTGATTGTGAACTGTGCATGAGGAAGGCCGTCCGATTGTCGTAGTGTTGAAGTTGGATTTTTATTATTTTTTTCCTGTTGAAATGTAGTGCCCCAGAAGATGGACTTTCTGCTTATCCACTTAGTCATGAATTGTCTTTTTGCTCTTGTCCTAGAGCTCAAACTTCATATTCCTACTTTCTTCAATACAAAATTCAATATTTACTACCCATAACTTTAATAACCTATGACTCTTCAACGAAGAAAGTCACTCATGTGCACATGTGCGATTATGAAATATACATCTATTATCATAATTATGAAATATACATCCATTAATTGTTGATAGTTATTGATGGATGTGCACTTGATTGCATGACCAACACTCATTTTGTGAGCGTCCCTAACAAAACTCTCTTAGTAATTGAAAATTAAAATGATTGGATTTTCCTTTGTAGAACTAAAAAAGCTTGACTCAAGTATGGCTATTGAGCTCATTATGCTTGAAAATTTTAAGATGATTGAGCTTTATTCTCTCTCGTAATCGTTGAAGAATTTGCTTCCAGTACTTTCATAATTATTGAGCTTTATTCTCTCTAGTGAACCGCTAAACTTAAGCACTTAATTATGGTAGTCCTTAGATTCATTCTAAATTCATAATTTTAGCAGCCGAAAACTCCATTAGACTATACATAATAAGATAACATAATTTTGGATTGAATCTAATGAACTCTGATTGGAGCATTTGCTTGCTTTTTTTGGGGTTAAAGGTAGGAAGAGGGAGAGGGATTTAGTCACACACGCACTAGTGCTTAAGAGTTTTGAACTTGAGACCGTTGGTCTTAGATCAAACATACTTTTCCAATGGAGCACTTATTTGCTTCGATCACGACAAATACAACTTACCCATATTTTTCTATCTCACCATGCCTTTCGACTTTCCCATTGTTTTTTATTTTATAAATTTGTTTATGTGTTAAAAAGCAAATGGATGATTCGGCCGTGTTAATAAATAGGACTATAATCAAATTTGATCATAACCGCATTATGCTTCCATGATCATGATTGTTGCGAGTTTGGTCATCATGATTGGATTATAGTTGTGCAATGAAGATCACCATTCAATGTGATCGTTGTTAATAGATGAATATTGAAATATTATTCAACTAATTTGATAGGGGGATAAAGCCTTCTGTTTATAAAAGAGAATTTCACTAAAGAAAGGAAAGACAGAGAAAATGAAAATATGTTGCAAAAGTGATGGAGATGATCAAGCTGGTGAAGGTATGATGAAGGCATGATGAAGATTTGATGGAGCTGGTGAAGGTAATCAAAACTTAATGGAGGCAATTAGCAACTATTAATTTTTTTATTTTAAATATAGTACAAGGGATAATCTACACTAAGGCCACCTCCACCGCAGCCCATTTTGTAAGGGCAAGAGGTTCCCCCCCAGTGGGGTTTGGACCTCCAGCGTGCGAGAAGCAGCCCGGGCAAGCCTAAGGGCAGATCTTGCCTGGGCTTCAACCTGAAGGAGTTGACGTCAGCGAGCACATTTCAAAAAAAATTTACCGTTGGCGCGTGAGTTTCACACGCCAATGGTAAAAAAATTTGACTTCCGCTCGATGACGTCAGTTCGACGTCACCGCTGATATCATCCCTGACAAAACCCAACGGGAAAACGCCAAGTGGCTCAACCCGATGCTCTGATTATTTTTTTTCCAGAAATCCGACGGTCCTATTTTTTGCTAAAAAGATTGCAAAAAAATTCTGATTTTTTTTATAAAAAAAAACCAAAAAATTCTGGATTTTTTCCCTATAAATACATAACAATTTTATTCACTTTCCACACCAAATCTTCATACAATTTATTCTCCTTCCAATATTTTTTACTTTCCACTCACATTATTCATTTTCCACACCAAATCTTCATACAAACTCTTTTCCTTCCAATATTTTTTACTTTCCACTCACATTTTTCTACTACTTTCCATTTGTATAAAAAAAACAAATGGCATCTTTTGTCGAAGCCGGAGGCGCGTGGACAGCTCAGGAAGATATTGCGTTGTGTCAGTCTTAGGTGAACGTTAGTCATTGCCCTGTCATAGGCAATGAGATGAAGTTCTCTCATATGTGGAGCAAAATTCATGGAGAATTTTGTCAAAGATCGGGTTCCATTTGGACCAAAATGGCGTTGTCTACTAGATGGAAAATTCTGAATAGAGAGTTAGGGAAATGGAGAAATGACTTGACAAAAGCAAGGGAGAACATTCGAAGCAGTCAAAATCTATCCGATGAGGTAAAATATTTATAATTGCCATTTTAATCAATTTAATGTAACTTTTTTTTTAATTGCATATTCTTTTTCTTTTTCTTTTTTTTTTTTTTTTTTTTTTTTTTTTTTTCTAATTTGTCTATATTTTCTTGCATAATCTTTTTTTTTTCCTTGCATTTCAAAATTGTTTATGTTTTCTTGCACTTCCAATTATTTATTTTTAATAGATCATACAAGCACAAGTTTGGTTCGGTGCCATGGGGCAAGACAAAAAAAGTTTCTTGCATCACGAATGTTGGGAAGTTGTGAAGGATTGCTCAAGATTCAAAATTATTCCCACAGGTCCGGCAGTTGTGTTGAATGAGACGCCACTCCACGATTCGCCAACAACCGATTTGCTATTTGACTCTGCAATGGAAACGGAGTCACCACTCCCACGTGCACTGAGACCTATTGGGAGAAAAGCGGCAAAGGCCAAGAAAGGGAGCACTTCGAACAATGAATGTGCACAATTTTTGGAGCAAATAGCTAAGAACACCGCACTAAGAATTGAAAGAGACTTGAAAAGAGAAGAAGCGGACATGGCATGATATGAAGCATTTACAATTCAAAGGCAGCAGGCACAAGAAAAAGACATGGAGGATAGAGAGATGAAAATCATGGTCATGGATACGAGCCATATGTCTCCTGAAACAAAGGCCTATTGGAAGCTAAAACGAAGGGATGTGATGAGAAGAAAATTTTTCCATGACGACGGACCTATCAATACGGATTGGTTAAATGATCAAAACCATTAGGTTGTATTGAAAGATTTGCCATATGTATTAATTTGTTGTATTGTTTCCTTTTTATTCAATAAAGAAAACTTTAAATAATATGACTATTTATTAAAAACATTTGCGCATCAAAACAAAGATTAATTAAAAACAAACCTTAATTTATTGCAAACAAACACACAAAACACAATCATACTTAAAAGCATAATAAAATATTTATTTTTTTTAAAAAAAGCATAATTCCAAAAGACACCACACACAAAATAAAGCATAATTCCAAATAAAGCACTAATCTTGATTTCATCCACTGTGATTGTCTTTCATCTCCCACAAGTGCTCGATCAAGTCAACTTGACGTCTCTCGTGAACATATGAAGATTGCATTTCTTGATAACGATCAATCATGAGGTTGTCGACCATCCCGAAATAACGGTTCGGGCTCCATTGGTTGTCCATTTGGTCCCATCGGCCTTTCATATATTTTTGTCAACGCTGTGTTCATGGGATTGGGTTCAAACACCCCTGGAGCATCATAATCATACTCATCCTCCACACTCATCCTCCACAATCATGTTGTGGAGGATGATGCAAGTCATCATAATGCTCCGCAGCACCTCCTCATCAAGCATCCGAGCAGCACCCCTAATAATACCCCCAACGAGCTTGCAAGATACCGAAACATCTTTCCATGTCTTTCCTGTAACCTTCTTGAAAGGTAGCAAAGCTTTTTTCCTTCTCGGATTGGGGATTCAGAATTGTTTTCATGAATGTCGTCCATCTAGGATAAATTTCATCGGCAAGGTAGTACACACTAGAGTATACGGTATTGTTGATTTGGTACGTAATTTGGGGGGAATGACCTCGCAATACATCCTCGAACACCGGGGATTGACCAAGGACATTGAGGTCATTCTAAGATTCGGCAACTCTGAAGAATGCATGCCAAACCCAACAATCAAATGAAGCTACAACCTCCAAAATTATACCCTTTCGATTCCCATAGTCTCCTTACCAAGCAGTTGGACAATTCTTCCACGACCAGTGCATGCAATCGATACTTGTAATCATTCCTGGGAAACCTCAAGCCTCAACTTTTTGTCGAAGCCTTTGTAGGTCCCTAGGCGTAGGTTTGCGAAGGTACTCCCTTGTGTACAAATTTTCTACTGCATCACAGAATCTCACTAAGCACTCTAGGATAGTTGATTTTTCCATCCTTGCAATATTATCCACCTGCTCTACAGATGCCTCATAAGTAAGCATCCACAAAGCAGCTGTAAGTTTTTGCTCCGAGAGAAAACCCAAAACTCCAACAGCATCATACTTCTGAATGAAATATGTGTCGTAATTACAAATATCATGCATGATTTTTTTGGAACAAATGTGGCTGCATTCTATATCTCTCTCGGAACTTAGAAACATGACATAACGAATTTGAGATAAAGTAATCTTCCAAGAGATTCTTACCCTGAGACTCCCTATGTCTGTCCACAATCGGGGCACGACTACGGCGGTGTTGCCTTGATTGATTAAGCATACACACCGTTGCTACAAGCATTTCTTCTTTTTCTTCATTGGCTTCCTGATATTCATCAACACGTCAGCACCGGATTTCTTCCTTTTCTTGCTCTTGCCTCTCCAACACCCTCCTTAAGTTTGACATTGAGAGTAGAATGTGTTTTGTAAAATATGAGAAATGAAGGAATAGATAAGATATGGTGTGAGAGGTATGAGTTGATGGTATAGTTTTATAGAGAAATTCAGAAGATAGAGATGACACGTGGCACAATTTTAACGTGTGAAAATCTTATATGAAATATGATATTATATATATTTTTTTAAATATTTGAAAATCTTATCTGACATGGGACACGTGGCGCAATTTTAGAGGGTGAAAATCTTATCTGAAATATGATATTATAATATTTTTTATTATAAATATATGAAAATCTTATCTGACATGGGACACGTGACGCAATTTTAGAGGGTGGAAATTTTATCTGAAGTTTGATATTATAATTTTTTTTAATAAATATCTGAAAATTTATATGGAATAAGACACTTAGCAACCGAAATTCTCATCCGAAAATCTTTTCTGAAAAATGATGGGCACGTGGCAAACAAAAATCTTATCCGAAAATTTTATCTGAAAATGTTATCTGAAATTTTAGATGATAATTTTATAATAAATAGTGACACGTGGTAACCGAAAATATTATATGAAAAGCTTATCAAAATTAATGGTTTGAAGAATAAAAAAAAAGAAGAAGGAAATATAGTACAATGAATAGCAATTGTCTTAGCCTTTTGGGGTGGAACCAAAAAAAGTAAGGTTGCCACTATTCACGTGAATAGTGTCAGCCTTTGCATTTGTGGTTCCACCCATGAGGACAAAGTCTAGGGCAAGTCTAAGGCAATTACTATTCATTGTACTTGATTTCCTATTTTTTTATACTTTAAACCATTAATTTTGATAATATTTTGTAATTAAATTTTCGGATAAGATTTTCACCCTCTAAAATTGTGCCACGTGTCCCATGTCAGATACGATTTTCAGATATTGAAAAAAAAATTATAATCTCAGATTTCAGATAAAATTTTCACCCTCTAAAATTGTGCCACGTGTCCAATATCATATAAGATTTTCAGATATTTTTAAAAAATTATAATCTCAGATTTCAGATAAGATTTTCACCCTTTAAAATTGTGCCACGTGTCCCATGTCAGATAAGATTTTCAGATATTTTAAAAAAATTATAATATCAAATTTTAGATAAGATTTTCATCCTCTCAAATTTTGACCGCTTTGAATGTTTGCCATTGCTTTTGTCAAGGCATTTTTCCATTTCCCTAACTCTTTATTCAGAAGTTTACATCTACTAGACAAGGCCATTTCGGTCCGAATAGAACCCGATCTTTGACAAAATTCTCCATGAATTTTGCTCCACATGTGATGAAACTTCATCTCATTGCCCGTGATAGGGTCATGACTAATGTTCACCCAAGATTGACACAACGCAATATCTTCATTCGTTGACCACAAGCCTCCGACTTCAACAGAAGATGCCATTCGTTTTTTTTTATACAAATGCAAAGTAGTAGAAAAATGTGAGTCGAGAGTAAAAAATATTGGAATGAGAAGAGTTTGTATGGAGAATTGGTGTGGAAGTGAAAAATGTGAGTGGAGATAAAAAAATATTGGAAAGAGAAAAGTTTGTATGAAGAATTGGTGTGGAAAGTGAATAATGTGAGTGGAGAGTAAAAAATATTGGATGGAGAAGAAATTGTATGAAGATTTAGTGTGGAAAGTAAATAAAATGGTTAGGTATTTATAGAGAAAAAATACAGAATTTTGGGGTATTTTTTTAAAAAAATTTCAGAATTTTTTCGATTTTTTTAGCCAAGAAAACGAGGACTGTCGAATTTCTGGAAAAAAGCCATCCAAGAGTCCCTGTCGCGCCACGTGGCAAACGCCCGTTGGAGGCTGTTAGGTGCTGACGTAAGCGCTGGCGTCATACAGAAGTCAAATTTTTTTACAAAAAAAATTTGAGTTACCGTGCGCTGGCGTCAGCATGACGCCAGCGCTGATGTCACCAGACTCGAGCTTCAGCCCGAGCAAGACTTGCCCTTGGGCTTCCTCGGGCTCGTGGGACCCACCATGAAACCGGGCTACGGGCCCTGCGCTGGAGCCATCTCGGGCTCGCCCTGGTAACCTTTCACCTAGTTTGGGTTGGGCGCTGGACTTGCTCTTAGCCTTTTGGGGTGGACATGCTCTAAGGCACCGTTTGGTTCACGGAACGGATTTGTGGAGAAATTACTTCCTATGTCATTTTCCAAAAGATGGGAAATGGAGATTCATTTATCATGTTTGATAATCCTGGGAAAGTAACTAAGAAATACCACTTTATTTCCTTTCACATGTTTGGTTTGTGTAGGAATGTAAAACAAAGTTTCTTTAATTTTTCAATTATCCCTGTATGAAATCAAATAAAAAAAGAAAGTAAATTTAGGTTTTAGCAAAAAAAAAATTTTCACTTTTGGAAAAAGCCAAAGCTTTTTCAAAAAAGACAGAAAAACCTCTCAACTTTCAAATCAAAGATATGCAAATGTAAAGGATTCCTTAGGAAATCCAAAAATAAATAAGGGCAATTTTGTCTATTTTGGCTTATTTTACAAAATTTCTCTCTCCTTTGTGTTTTTCCAAGGTCTCCCAAAAAAGAATGCATTTAATGCTATATTGTAATTCTAAATTATTAATGGGGACAATATGGTCATGAAAAATATGTATTTAATGTTGGCTCATTTTCCCAAACTTTCCTATGAGGGGGAAAACAAAACCCAATGAGGAGGATGACTTCACTTTCCTCCTAATTTCATATGTGCAATGCAAGGCAACGATTTTCCATACCTAGACTTACTAAATATGGGAAAACAATTATTTCTCATCCCCAAGCCTCATTTCCCAAGAACCAAAAGGAGCCTAAAGGGAAAAAAATTTCTCACACACACACAAAACTAAAATGTCATGGGAATTCAAACTTGAGACCTATTGTCTGCATGTCAAGACCTTTTTTCTTTGGGCTAGATTCCATTAATAGTAGCCATTATTTTAAAATATTTTAAAATGTAATACTAGAGATACCAATTTTTGTATTTTTGTTGTTTGGCATCATCTATTGTTGCAGCAGTTCATTTGTTTTTTTAAATTTATCTACACCACAGCAGAATCATATCAGTTTTCTTCTCAATATATATATATTTTTTTGGTCTGAGTTTTCTTCTCAATATTAGTATAATAGGTTAATGTATCTAGTATAATTATACTTTTTAATTGTAATTTTTTCCTTAAAAAATGATTAAATAATAATTTAATTTAATTTATGAAAAGGAATCTCATAAAAAAATTCTGAAAAATAAAGTAAACATAAATAGTTAATTTGTTTTTTTTAATGACACGGGGGTAAAACATAAATAGTTAAATTGTGGCAAAGATAATTCTGGAAAACCAGTAACAATAAATGAGAGCGCCCCACGATGGTAGACTTTTTGGCCCGTTTTATGACGTCATTAATCCGACTGAGAATTCAAATTTTTTTGCAGGCGAGACGAAAGCGAGGGTTCTAGAAAGCATCGAACCGCTCTCATTCGTCGATGCCTTCAAGAATTCTAAAGTGCGCAATACGCAACAACATCAAACTCAGAACCGATTACCTCACACAGCGCCTCCAAATGCAACCACGACAGACAATCTCACGGGGATAAGACCGTTGAAAATTCAAACTCGACAAGATTGACTAATCTCCATGTCCACTCATCTTCGCCATTTATGCATGAATTAGTGACGGCCGGTGAGAATAGCGTAATCCAGTAGCGAATTGGTTCATTTTCCCCACAACGAATGGACGGTGGTGGTGCGTCCACGTCAGCCACCAAAGACAAAGACGCGTAAGGCGGTGAAAATCCGGAATCTGAATACATCACTGTGGTGAGGTCGGTTTCACAGGATCAAGGACACGCGGCCATCCGTTACTCGAAGGCTGTTAGATATTAAAAACATCGGGACCCACCGAGAATTTAAAATTTAGAAAAAAAGATTTTTGTGTTTTGGGTTTTTTCGGAAGAAAGAAAAGGAACGAAGACGAAGGAGGCAGAGGAGGTAGCTTTCATAGGCTCTTCTTTTTGACTCAAAACCCATAAACACTTAAAAGGAAGAAACGAAAAGTCTCTCTCTCTCTCTCTCTCTCTCTCTCTCTCTCTCTCTGCTAGAGTTTGGTCGTGTGGTTTAAAGAGGGGGAGTTGGGTTTTCTGAGCCACTCTGTGCTCTGCTCCTTCAATCATTTCTCTGTTGTGAGGTATGTGCCCCTGCTTTTATTTTCCTTTTTCCTTTTGTCAATTTTAATTTTTGTGTGTTCTTTGTGTTTTATTGAATGTTTGAGTTTGAATTCCACTTGGGGGTTTTCTGTCTTCCGGAAGTTTGTTGAATTTTCTGTTTGGATATTGAGAAAGAGAATGGGAGTTTTTCAAAGATTGGTGTTTTAATGGGTTTGTTATTTGTTGGCACTTAAAAGTTGGAAGACTCTGTAGAGTTGAATTTGGATGGTAAGCCAGAAGGGTAGCTGTATATGGTGTTCTTGTCCCAGTTTCCTGGCAACCAAACAAGTGGGTGTGTTTGTTATGAGGGTTGTGTTTGTTGGGTTTGTAACAGATTTCTGTTTCAGTTTTGCTTGAAATTGGGTAACATATGTGTTGACATAAGGTTAAGAATGAAACCGAAGTTTGGATATTTGTGTTTTAATCTTATGCCTAGTACACCTTTTTGAGTCCCTCTTTATGAGTTTTGTTTTATGCGTTTACATAATTTGAATTTTTACTCTTTCTTCAAGTTTCTTTTCCTCCATAAAGTGCCCATGCTTGTGATCTTTGTCAGAGGGTCTTTGAATTGATGTTTTGCCCTCTCTTTTTTATATAGGAAGGAAGAGATTTCCATGTGCAGTGGTTCCAAGAGGAAACCTTCTTCCACTGACTTGATCATGGAGCGTGAGAAACAAGAAGGGATGCGGTATAGTTTTTCAATTTTGCTTGAATTATCGGCCTCCGATGATCTAGATGGGTTCAAAAGGGCTGTAGAAGAAGAGGGTCATGATGTTGATGAGGCAAGCTATTGGTATGGAAGGCTAATTGGCTCAAAGAAGATGGGGTTTGAAGAGAGGACACCGCTCATGATTGCCGCTATGTTTGGTAGCAAGAACGTGCTGAATTATATCCTCCAAACATGTCTTGTTGATGTTAATAGAGCCTGTGGTTCGGATAGAGCCACGGCTCTTCACTGTGCTGCTGCTGGTGGCTCTTCTGCTTCAGCTGAGGTTGTGAAGCTCTTGCTTGCTACTTCTGCTGATGCAAGTTCTCTTGATGCTAATGGAAACCAAGCAGGTGACTTGATTGCACCTGCTTATAGTTTGACCTTCAATTCAAGGAAGAAAGCTTTGGAGGTCATGCTCAAGGGTGTTCCCAGTATAGATGAACCTTTTGACTTTTCAGAGCAAATGGTTTATGAAACAGAAGGGCAAGAACAGCAAGAGATTACAACTCCTCGTGCTTTGAAGGATGGAACAGAGAAGAAAGAGTATCCGATTGATCTTTCTCTTCCAGACATCAAGAACGGAATTTATAGCACAGATGAGTTTAGAATGTATACTTTCAAGGTCAAGCCTTGCTCAAGGGCTTATTCACATGACTGGACAGAGTGCCCATTTGTCCACCCAGGGGAAAATGCAAGGCGACGTGATCCAAGGAAATATCATTATAGCTGTGTTCCTTGCCCGGAGTTCAGAAAGGGGGCCTGCAGGCAGGGAGATGCTTGTGAGTATGCACATGGTATTTTTGAATGTTGGCTTCACCCTGCCCAGTACCGCACCCGTATTTGCAAGGATGAGACTGGATGCACTAGGAGGGTCTGTTTCTTTGCTCACAAGCCAGAAGAACTCCGTCCCTTGTATGCTTCGACAGGTTCTGCTGTGCCGTCTCCAAGATCATTCTCAGCCAATGCTTCTTCTCTGGACATGGGTTCAATTAGCCCACTTTCCCTCAATTCTCCATCTATGTTAATTCCTCCTGCTTCAACTCCACCGATGACCCCCTCGGGAGCCTCTTCTCCTAGGAGTGGAAACATGTGGCAAAACCAGCCAAACATTGCACCTCCCACGTTGCAGCTTCCCGGTAGCAGGTTGAAATCTACCCTAAGTGCTAGAGATATGGATTTAGACATTGAATTACTTAGTCTGGAAAGTCATCGCCGCAGGCAGCAGCGCTTGATAGATGAGATGTCTGGTTCCCCATCCAGCTGGAACACTGGCTTATCTTCTCCTTCAGCCTTTGCTGCCTCCGGGAATCGAACAGGGGAGTTGAATAGGATAGGAGGAGTGAACCCTACTAACCTTGATGATATTTTTGGATCTCTAGATCCTGCAATTTTGCCTCAATATAATAATGGGCCAGCATCCCAGTTACATTCTCCAACTGGGATCCAGATGCGCCAAAACATGAACCTGCAGCCCCGTCCCAGCTACTCAGCCAGCCTCTCATCCTCTCCTGTGAGGGCTTCTCCATTGTTTGGAGCTGATGCATCTAGTGCAGCTGCTGTTTTAAGTTCAAGGTCAGCTGCATTTGCAAAGCGGAGTCAGAGCTTCATTGAGCGTAGTGCTGGCAACCGTAATCCAGGGTTTTCTTCACCTGCCGATTCTGGAACTTTAATGCCCTCAAACATTTCAGATTGGGGCTCTCCTGGTGGCAAATTAGACTGGGGTATGCAGGGGGAAGAGCTGAACAAGCTGAGGAAATCTGCTTCTTTTGGATTCCGAAGCAGCGGGAGCAGTTTTTCAAATGCTCCAACCATGATGCCAGGAACTGCTGATGAGCCTGATGTATCTTGGGTTCAATCTCTTGTCAAGGATGCACCACCACCTTCGCAACGCGGGCAATTTGGTTTTGAGGATCAGCAGCAGCCGCAGTGCCACCCTAACAATGGAGGTCCAGAGATGCTCCCTGCTTGGGTGGAGCAGCTCTACTTGGAGCAGGAGCAGATGGTGGCTTAATTCTAAGTTCAGTCCCAGGATTGCTCCTTCGTTTAACCTTTAACGATATTAATTTTTGCCATTTTTTAAATTTTTATTGTATTCATCATAAGTAGGTTCAAGGAACTGGATAAGAGGGGAAATACCCGACGGAGAAAAAAGATAAGTCGTGCAGAATGCAAGTTCTGCTCATATTGTTTCCTTTTAATTTATCTAGTCTTCATTGTAGTATCCATGTGAATCTCAAGCAGAAAGATGCTGGACTTGAGATGGCCTTTCACCTATGATAGCATTAATTTAGATATTGTTGGTCGGTTGTATACCTTATATCATATGTATGGCCAGCTCGTAAACTCATGAATTTATTCATAAATTGATAATGTTCATACCAATTTGGCCAACTTTATGTTCTCATGTTGATTCTAATGTGTACCTTTTACTAGTCAAGTGAAATATATCAGTCATTTTTCTTTTCATGTCTTGGAACCAATTGAAAATACAGTTCCTTACCCCAGCCCCCTCCCAAAATCTTGAGCAATCAACAGTGCCCTGTTTTAAACTTTTCTGCCTTCAAATTCCTTTACTTTTTCCATCTGTGGTTACTGCCATGGGGTTTCTTGTCTTTTCTGAAATCTGCATATTACTTTCGGCTTTCCAAAGGTGAATCTCGGTGGTTCTGTCAATTGGTGATATTTGTTGAGCACAAACAGATAAAGGCCAACCTACTTGCTCTACTTTTGGTCCTTGAATCTAACTTTAGTAGTTGGGCAATTGTTAGTGGTATGAGCACTGGAAAAAGGAAGGATGATAGTGGCTTAGTCCCAACAGCCAGAGATGCCTTGGCCCATAAGTACAGGTGGCGATTTATGATACGATACGATGACAATCGATTTGAACACTACACAAATATGAGAGTTTCTATAATGAGGAGCTATGTTGAGGGGTTATAATAAATTCAATAGTCCAATAATAACTTTGCATGAATCGAACGGCTATTAAGGACCCTCTCACTATAACCCCTCATTCTAGCCTCTCTGCACAAATATAGAACCCATGGATGCATGTTTAGCACAATAAACACTGCTCAACAAATATTATGATAATAAAATGCTAACCTTTCTCATTTGTTATTTATTAATAATATGAGTTATTGTATTATTACATTATTATTTTTGTATCATGTTGCTTACCCTGCTTATCGATCAAACAGGTTGTTGACACAAACACTATACGACTACAAATGAATCAACCCAAATACGACTCATTGCCACCCATTAATCTATGTGTTCACACGAACACTACACGACTATAAATGAATCAACCCAAATACGACCCATTAATCCGTGTGTTCACACGAACACTACACGACTATAAATGAATCAAACCAAACACGACCCATTGCCACCCATGAGTCTCTACCTCTAAAACCAAAGCAATTTGAGATTCATCAGTCCTACCCACTGAAAACACATTGGAACTTTATCCCGGGCGATGCCCATGACTGCCCCATCCAGTCCAGTCCGGATTGTACAGATGGTTGAGTGTAGATGGGCAGCATTCCCCTTTTATTTTAAACCATCACAAACAAGTAACCTAAAATTGAGGTTCAACTGCCTACTTTGTTACTAGTCAAGAACCTCCTTTAATAAAAGGAAGAGGTACAACCAACTTTTAAACTACATGAGCTGGTGGTGGTGACATGTATGTGATTTCTACTGGCTGAAATTTTCAAACAAGAAAGCATTTTTTTTTCCTACCCTAAAAAGGCCCCTCCTGAAATTGTTCTTTTACCCTAGTGTACCAATTCTAAATCCACGTGGGTTTGCCTAAAAAACTTGACCAAGCATTTTAAATGAAAAATTGTTGCCTGAATTGATTGACTAGGACCAGCTTCCATTGCAGATGTTCCTCTGCTGGTAGAGAGGATAAGAATTAAGCACCTTTTTATAATGGCAAGTTTGAATGTTGAATATGCAGTCTACAAAGGGGAGGGAGACTAACCAAAAATCAAAGTTGAGCAGAAAGAGTGGGAGCTAGTGCTTTTTTATAAGGAAAATACTTACCTCCTTATCATGTAGTATGAGCTTTTACATTCCTGTCAATAACAGTGTGATGTGTGTGCAAAAGTTTTTCCTATGAATTATTTTTGCATATATGTGAAATTATGATTCGTAAGAAAGAGGAGTATCTGCTTATAAGGAAGGAAACATTATCTTTTTATAATGTCATGACTTTCAATCATGGTTGTGTCCAAAACTTGATTAAAATAATCTCAGAAAGTCATTGGTTTGAAGTTTGAGCTCTAACTCTTTTGATGACAGAGTTGAGTGGCAAAGTCAGAATTAAGAAGTTGTGCAGAGTTTTGAATCACATTATAATATTCTTGTTTTGGCAAAAGAATCACATTATAATATTGAATTTACAGAAGAAAAAAAGTGGATTGTCTTGGCACAGTAAAAGAAGGGGTAGAATAATTTTGTTAGTTTGGTTTAATTTTATTGTAATGCCAAAGTTACAAAGGTTTGTAAATCTTACAGGTTTTGAATTTTCAAGGGTAAGTCAGCAAATTGATCTACCAGCTCATCTAATAATTGACCAAGAATTTGAGACTCAAAATCTGCACCAATGCCTACAGAACCTGCTTGGTTCCAACTGCCCTTGTTGTGTATGATCCAATTTGAGCTAACCAATTCATCTTCAACCAGCCTACAAATTTCCCCACACATCTCAATGTGCTTTCCACTGTGAAACTCTTTCTTCCTTGATCCGAGACATTTTCCTTCTCTTGCCATTGTTCTTCTTGCATCACCAATTAAACCATTGTCATTACATGGACAAGGCAAGCCTGAATCTTCTTGATCTGGTGTGCAACATTTAAAGTAATTTAAAATTTAAAACCATGCTATAATTGGTGACTGTATGAAACAACTATTTCAAGCTTAAGTTTGAAAGATGGTGTGTACAAAATTGAGGAGACAAACCTGAGGTAGGAGCTTCTGGATCAACAAGAAATTGACCACAATCAAGAACCGAAACTGGACTTAAATCTTCTGAGCTGCATTCAGATTCTTCATTCTTAAGAACATCACAGATTGTAGGAATTGAAGCACTTTTTGAATCTTTAACTATACCATTAATATTGCCAACTTTGTTACTGGGATTATCAGAGCTACTTCTACTTATTCTGAGAATCTCCCTCCCATTCAAATCCTTCAAAACCCTTCTGCTCTTTCCTTCTTGAACTTGCTTCTTTTTCTTATCTGCCTCTCTTTCTGTTATTTTTTCATTGCTTTTGCTCTTCCCTGCTCTTTTCTGCTTCCCTTCTCTACAACCCATTTCGCCTTTCCTCCCTTTTGATCTCATTTCCTTGCCTTTGCTCTCATTCTCAAAGCTGAGAATAAAGAACTCCTCATTTTCAAGCTCAAGAAATGTTGGCATCTCTCGAAATGACTGCGTCGACTTGACCTTGCGATGTTGTGCCTGCATTGGCTCATCACCACCTCCAGCAAACCGGTCCACAGAATTCATAGATTTGCTACGTGAAATTGAGTTAAGGGTTGACTGGCCGTTGACCAAGTTGACATCTGGAATTGACTCCAACCCCATCAGCCTTGCCACTAGGCTTGGATTGGCAGCGCTCTCTGTTTTCTCCCCAGTTTTCTCCATGGACTTGAAATCCTGATCCTTGTAAGACTCCACAGAATTGGCTGCTTGTTCTTCTTCTTCTGTGATATGATCAGAAGGGTATGTGGGGAAGCTGCCATAGCAGAGAATTCTGCGGAAAATGCCAGCAAGGCATCCTGCAGCAGCGCCTTTTGAATTGCACATAGCTGCATCAAAAGCAGTGGAGGTTGATGATGATGAGGAACATGAAGAAAAAGAAGGGGAAGAGCTTGGCAACTTCATGTTTGAAATTGAGCTGATAAGTAGCAAAGGGAAGTGGAAGAAACAAACACAGTGAGTGAGTGAGTGAGTGAGTGATTTGAGTTGAGTTGGGTTTAGTGGAGTTTCAACTTTCAAGTTGGAACAGAGAAAGTGAAAAAACAAAGAATGAATAGTTGTCGAGAAAGAAAAAAAAGCTGAAAAAAGGAGAGACTCAAATTTGTTTTGTAGTAGCAAACTGCAAAAGTGTGGTAATGACAGAGTATGTGAGTGAGAGAAATGGCGGGCTCTGCATTTGAATATTGGATTGTTTGGGAACATGTTACCACGCGGATTGTAAAGTCAATTTTGTACAATATGCTGTCTCCTTGTAGATATTTGGTCACATTTTTAGATAAATTATTGTATAGTGTGAAATGTTACTAATTCACCTATACGTTAGGTATCTCATATATATACACACTTCACAATGTCAGGCCGTGAATCCATGATCAGCTGGATGGAGACAAAACTCCTTACCGTTACACTAATAGAGCACCGGCAATTTCTCTACAAAATATTAATACAAACATACATATTATAACATTTATGAATTAATTACACAATATGACGGTACTACGGTCTCACCAATACATTAGTAGTATGTATGTGGGGTGACAGTGTGAAAGGGTTAATATTGGGTGGTGTAGATTCTGCAGTTATTTTGTAATTACTATTTAGGCATGAGGCAAGAGGAGGAGAATTGTGTGGCCAGTTGCTTAATTGAGAAACAGTTTTTGGGATCTGCAGCCCAAGAAGATGATGACCTTTCACTGGTTTGTTCAAACAGGGTCAGCTTTTAGTGGCTAAAAGAAAAGAAAACACTACAGTTTTGGGCCTGATGGTTAATGCAGTGTTCCCCCGACCGGCCCTTCTGTCGTGTGTTTCTTCTTCAACTCTGGTCACATTCCCATCACAATCAATCAGAAGCCATGGCCCATTGCATTGTAGCTACCTTACAGAACAAGCAAGGCACGCTATGACTTTCTGCATACAATTTGGAGGCTTGCCAAATGATGTTTTAGATTAATCTTTTCCTTGTGTGTTGTTCATTTCTTCTTCTATAGAAACATATGGCGAAAACTCATTCAACTGAGCCTTTATTGTATTCAGATGGCTTGATATGTCGGTTTCAGTTTCAGAACAAATACACAAAATTAGAGGAATTGTAAATTTTATAATAAACGGAAAAATCTCTTGATCAAAACATTTTTAGCTCCAAAAGATTACGAGGACTTTATCTTCTCATAAAATCTAAGGCGCTTTGAATCAGTCTGATAATACACAATATCTCCTGTGTCACTGACATAGTGATCCTCTTTCATGCTTGCAGCTAAAATCTTCGCCAAGTGAAATGGAATTGGGCCTGATTTTTCTGGCTCGCGATAATATTTCCCAAGAACATGCTTAGCTGCCTTTGTCTGCAAGATAATTATTCAAGCATGCAAATATTTAAAATCAATGGTTCAAAACCACCAAATGAAGCAACAAATGAATAAACCAATCTCAAGTAATGGAGAACATACTGCTTCTACTAGGTGATAGTGTGGGATTTGAGGGAACAGGTGATGTATAACATGGGTCCCAATATCATGGTGAATTTTATTAAACCATCCGTAATCGCGATCAATAGTTGTAAGTCCGCCTCTTAGGTAACTCCATTCCTGAAAAAACAACACCGTTTTTTACATAAGCACAATACAAAACACGTTTCTTTTCTTAAAAGTACAAACAAAAAAAATTTATTACCTCACCACGGTACCAAGGGAGTTTCGTCTCATGACCATGGTGATGCAAGTATGTGACAATGTCCAACCACATAACAAAAATCTGTAAAAATTAGAGCATGATCAAAAGACAAAAATATATAACAAAAACAATTTGGATTAGATAGTACTAGTTAACAAAAAAGAACAACCCAATTACTTACCCAATAAGGAACAAAGTATAATTTGAGCATTTGGATAGGACCAAACACAATGGACAAATGGAAAAGCAAAGCAGCCATAATAATCCAACAAACAGTTGATGTTATAACATAACTTCTTTCATTAGGAGAGAACAGGTCGCTGCTAGGATGGAAGTGAGTGCCTTCTTTACCAGGAGCTCTATACCACTTCAGTGATAAAAGCAAAAGCAAAAATTAGAAGCTAATTAATTACACAATCAGAAGATCAATCTGTATGATTGAATTAAGAAGTCCAACCAGATAGAGAGGGAAAGAAAAGAATGGAAAAGGCATTGTGAATCTCAGCGTTTTGGTGCTGCTAGGCAAGCTTTTGTACAAAGACTCTGTCATCTAAAACAAACAAACCCAAGTTAAGGAAATGCAAAATTGAATATCAAATACAAAGCATTAGAATATAACTGAGATAATAAAAGAAACACTTACTGGAACCCAAGACTCATCATTCTCAACATGTCCATGGTTCTGATGGTGTGTTTTATGGCTGATTCTCCTGTAAGTATAAATTGTGATGTTAATATTTATCAAGAAATTATTGTGCACAGGTACCAATTTATGGTATATGATCCATATTTTGTCAATAGAACGTGGATATTTTTCCCGAATACAAGCGATAGTTTAAGCTACGAGGGGAGGGAAATTTATCACACACAAAAACTACCAAAGTGTCATGGAAGTTAGAACATGAGACGGTTGATGTGTAAGTCGAGACCCTTTTCTATTAGGCTAGTTGATAATGGTACTTGATACCAACCAATCCTCCCCTATCTATAATAGAACTATTTAAACCACATTTACAATGCTTGTATGAAGCTTAGGGTACAAGAATTTAAAGAAATATGGAGGAACCCACCAGCCATGAAAAGGAACAAGAATTGCAGAATGCAAAATATGCCCCACAAAACTATTGAGCCAGCGAGAGTCTGAGAAGCTTCCATGGCCACAATCATGTCCAATAACAAATACAGCCCAAAACATGGTGCCTTGGGCAGCCCAATAGAATGGCCAAACATACCAAGTGCTTGAGTATTCGGCTGTGGCTGCCAGTGCAAAAATGACAAAAATATCTCTAACAGCATAACTCAAAGACCTGCATGGATTTTTAACCCAACAGTGTTTGGGAATTGCATCCCTAATCTCAGCAATCTTAAATGGTGGAGGAGCACTTGGGTCAAAATCAGCTCGGCCTCTGGTCACATTAGTCTCCATATCTGTGTAATCAACTAAATGAAATGAAAAAAAACAAAAAATTAATTAACAAGAAAATATTGATTATAAAATTAAAACTACAAGAAATACAGAGGAAATGAAAGAGGACTACTTACAACATATACTCTTGGTCTTGGAGTCTCTAATAATGTGACACTTTGATATGGTTGATTAAGGGGTTGGCTATTTATATGTGTTTAGGCTCCTAATTAAATCTTAATTATGCTTTCAAAATGAATGCATGATTAATTAAATATTTAACCAATGAATTTCTGTGGCATTTTTTTTTGGACAGAATTTCTTTTTGGGTAAGTTGTCTCTTAAGATCGCACACTTCTGTTTTAATATAAACTCGGTTTCATGGTGAGGTAGTTGTGCTTTTTTTTGTTGGTGGGCAAATGGTAGTTGTGCTTGTGATAGAAGAAGAGCAGCTAAGATAAGGTTTCTGTGCGGTTTCTGATGCAGCACGGAAGCGTAAACTAGAAGAAAATCTATGTATTCAATTAGGAAGGGTACCTTGAATCCACAAGGAGGAAAAAAAAACACTCTTAAAGAGAGATTTATTTAGTTTATAGTGAAGTTGAAAATTGGAATGACAGATTAAGGGTACAAGCCACCCTTAATATAGCTATAGATGATGCATGAATCATAGGCAAGTGCATACATGAACTAGAGTATTTATGAATAGTTATTAATAAAGGCTTAACTAGTCATTTGCCCCCCTGAACATGTATATAGCTTTCGATTCAGCCCTTATTCTTTCTTTTTCTTTTTCTTTTTATAGATAATTAAGGATATGAATTTCTTTTTTGGCCAATTTTCCCCCTACAGTCTAAATCCTCAACATTTCATCCAATTTTTAATTAAATCATTTAAAAAAAATTATTTTTTGGAAAAATTTGAAGAAAAAGAGTAAACCTAGTGCCAACCCCTTCCTGCCCCTAACCCGAAGTACCTAGTCCTCCTTCCCTTTCCGTATCCTCCCCTCCTCATCCTCCTCTTCCCCTCCTTCCCCTTCTATCTCCCCCACCCTCCCCCTTTGATCTCTCTGTCACCACCCTCAATCGTAATATATAGTATGGCAAATACGAGGTCATTCCCACGAGGATTGAGTTCAACTTCCAATTAGTCCAACCTAATTTACTTCACAAAATACTTTAACTACTCTAATTATATAAACAAGAAATTAAACATGTAGCATACTCACGTAAACACAAAAGGGGTTTGTGAAAGAATGATTTAATTACCAACGAAATTAAAAGACAAAACAAGTAGAAAGTCATGAAACACATAATGAGAAATTCAAATTAATAGAAGCACTAGGACAATGAATTCACCACTAATAATCCTATCTAGCCTCGTATTCACCTACCTATTAACTAACCATTTGATGTCGCCGCTTAGTTTTCCTTTTTCATGAATTACCTATGGTATTTATGATAACTCATATATTCCCACATGCAATTTGCCTACGGTATTTAGGTCAAATATCAACACATAGAAACTCATTAAGATTAGTGAAAACCTCCAACAAGCATGTAAACCTTAGGAGTATGGTATTTACCCTAGACGAATTATAAATCATAATCATAAGAAGCAAGCCTCAAATTAAGTATGGTATTTACTCTAATTTGCATCTGATTAACTCAATTAAAAGTCTAGATGGTGATCAAGCATCAAGATAATCAACCAAGTTATTAAGCACAGTGATTAAGAATCCAACATCAAACGGCAATCAATAGATAGGTAAAATAAAAAAAAACTAGATGCAAAAGAAAATTAGTTACACATAATCATAGATTTGACATAAACAAAAATGTAAGGAAGAAACAATAAAACTTAGCCAATTGCTATACTCTTCCGGCATCTTCAATTTCTCCTAGTCTTTGCGTGTGTAACTCCCCCAAAGGAGTTGTTTCTCATGCTCAAATAAAACACCACACGTCTATTCCTACTATAGCTGGGTTTTTACAGCAGCCCAAAAATAAAGAAAAACCTAATTAAAACATCAATCCAAAATGGGTAAGTAATTGACTCCTCTTCCTACTTGGATTGGGATAACACGTCAGTTACTTTGCACGCACGTTTGGGGTTGTTCTTCCTCAAAGAAAATTCAGAAAAAATATGTAAATTGTAGATCTTTGTCTTATCTTTCCAGCCATATATTGCACACCTTGAGGAAAAATTAGGAAATTCTTCAAATAATCATTCTTCCATAGCAGCACAGTTTTGACGGAATTGCACCTTATGCTGACTTAACTTCAAAGACTGCTCTCATTGGCTGCTCCAAAAATTCTAGAAAAATTCCATAATCATCTTCAAGATCTTAGCTTTCATATCCAACTGGTCTTGTTAACTCCACTAAAAAGTCATATTTCCATTGAAAACCATTTACTTGCTCCAAAAAGCTGAAAATTGAGAAAATAAAGTAATAAGTCCTTTTTAAACCAAATTCTCCTACAAAAACTAAGTATAAAAAGTACATAAATGTGTAAATTTATGGACTTATCAAATACCCACAACTTAGATTTTGCTAGTCCTCGAGCAAAATAAAATGAAAAATAAAAACTAAAGAACACAGATTCAACGCAAACAAGTGATCGACTAACTTCCCAATATTGATATTAGAGATAATCACCAACCGTTAGCTAACTTCCAAGAAATAAGCAACAATAACTCAAGACATTATCAAAGGGTTAACCAAACTTTAATTGAACAATTTGGATGTAGTGTGTGAAATATCCAACATTAATACAACCCACGACTTAAGCTTCACACAAGTTAAATAACCAAATAAGAACAAGCTTCAACTTCAAATCTCATCAAGGATGTTCACTCTAATAAAAGCACTCAAAATTTGACTAGTTATTGTCACTCATAAATATGTGAGAGGAATCAAAGCAATAGGATGTACTCACATAATTGAAATAAAGGCACATGACATAGATAAAAGATCTCATGGAAAGATATCGCATATTTGAAAACATTTAAACCATCCGACCATAGTCCTTTCACACCTATTCTCCACATGAGGAACCACACTTCTCCTTGGATCAAGTAGGACTTTCACTAAGGTGTAATGAGGCTTAGGGTGATGGGTGAAACAAGATCTTAGCTTTCATCTCCAACTGGTCTTGTACTAAAATTCCACAATCATCTTCAAGATCTTAGATTTCATCTCCAACTGTTCTTGTACTAAAACTCCACCAAGAAGTTGTATTTCCGTTGAAAACCATTTACTTGCTATAGAAAGCTAAAAATTGAGAAAACAAAGTAATAAGTCCTTTTTAAACCAAATTCTCCTACAAAAACTAAGTATAAAGAGTACATAAATGTGTAAATTTATGGACTTATCACCTAGACCCATCCCTCAACCCTTGCCCCCCAAGACCCAGACCCATTCCATCCCCCAACCCTTGCCTCCAGACCCAGACCCATCCCTTCCCTCCCTTCCAGCGGCGACAACAGATCCCTACTCCCACCCTCGACCCACAGAACCCAGCCCGCACCTACAAAAAGAGAGAGAGAGAGAGAGAGAGAGAGAGAGAGAATTTCATTTTTCAATTTTTTATTTTTTTTTAACATACAAAATGACCATTTGCCCTCATATTTAACGGCAAATTGGAAGAAATGTTGTGGATTTAGACGGCAAGGGGAAAATTGGCATAGAAACATATGGGGTAAATCGAAAGTTAGGTACAAGTTCATAGGGTAAATCACCAATTAACCCATTAAAAAAAACATGAATCTAACATTAAATATGTGTTTAATTTATTTATTAAGTAAATGAATCAAGAGTAATTATTCATTGAACCTTGTTCTTGATTATGATGCCTCATCAGTTCCACCATTACCCTTGCACTCTATCTTTTTTTTTCTTTTTTTTTAATTGAAGGAATGAACATGTCATTACCATAGAGAATTACAAACAAACTACAATAAGAAACATATTTCATGAAAAAACTTTTGTTCCACACACGCACTTCTTATCTAAATTACATACATGTTGAAGTTGGAGACAATTTCTGATGCAATTATTGCAACGTTTAATTGCATACAAATAGGATTTCATGGCCGAGAGCTTCATAGTGTGTGCTTGTAACTTAGCAGGGGATCAAAGTAATTACTTTGTGACCGAAACTAAGCTAGGTTGGCAAGATGATGTAGTATATTCATTGCTATTTAGTATGTTGTGAATTTGCATTAAGCACGCCTTATGCCCTCGGATTAGTAGGGGAACCCAACACAGTGTGTAGCAAAACAAATAGGCTTCATGTATAATGGAATTTCTTATGAAATGGTTGGGTATTTTATTTTATTTTATTTTTTCTATAGAGGAGGTGGACTGTAGGGCTTGAACTTTTACAATTTATGTGGGCAACATGATATAGCATTGGAAGTAGAAGCATATTCACCTAAATTAGTATTCATCAAGTTAACACATGGACAACACACATATGATTATTTTTCCTAGAGTACTGATAATCACAAAAATGCTAAGCAATTTGCTGTTTATGATTATTTTTCCTTAATGTGTTATTGTGGGACTGTGGAGAAGTGTACATAAACACATGTGATTATTTTTCCAAATGCTCTCTCTCTCTCTCTCTCTCTCTCTCTCTCTCTCTCTCTCTCAAAATTAGAACTTCAGTATTAGACTTCTACTTTCAGTGCTCTAGATTTCTGCAGATTTTGATTAGGATGCATTTTCATTTGGCTAGCATTTCCATTTATTGTCCTAGATAGTCAGTTGGGAACAAGTGCTACAACAAGTATTTTCATTGCTGCAGCAATTACTGATTGTTGGTAGACCTTTCAAATTGCTATCATTCCTCTGATTCTTGGTGCATTGATAAGGTAATTAACTTTACTAATTGGTGGATGTCTCTCTCGTGTTCTTCAATGATATCAAAATGATCTTGCTTGTTAGAAAGTTGGCATTAGATTTGGTAGCAGTTAGCGGGATATTTGATGTCACTGCATTCTCAGTTATTTTTGTG